AAAAATACTGAGCGTATGGTGATCTGGTCACGTTTTCTTGGTACCTAAAGATTCGAACGATTTATTTACCACCGAGAGGAGTTATTGAGTTCCGTTTTAATGTTACGAAGAAGCGCACAACGATTACCGATGAGTGGTAATACACGTACCGATCTTTGACAGGTGAGTAGATACCCCGCGGTGGTACCAACAAACGGACAGCCAGAACCTGTCGGATTTCTCGGCGGAAAAACAAAAAAGGAATCTCGAACTACTTTATATAGGCCAAGGGGAAGTCCTCCTGTTCTTATTGTGTTCTCCTCGCGCTCCGTCGAGAATCGGGTCAATTACATTCATATATCATTCACATTACTATGGATGTATCTTCACCTGCTCACCCAAAGGGTTTTTTACAACCTTATACGGTGGTAAAAAAGTATCGATTGTAATCGTGATTGTGTGTAAATTTTTTATCCCTCTTGCCATTGTTGTCGATAAAGTCTATTCATAAACCTCGTCAAATTTCATGGTGTATATTTAAATAAACCATTTTCGAGTCTCAATAAGATTGTCATTGAGATGTCAAAAGCAAAGAATAAACTAAAGAATAATAAACGCTACGGCGACGACGGCCATATGGCGTTTCGCGTTTTAAACAACAAAACGACACCGATTTCGAAAATAGTAATAATAAAACTTTTTTGTTCGAATTTTACTTCGTTTTACTACGTTTCGTTTCTTTTTTTGCAGATGGCTTGATTGGCGTTCATTGCACTCACGGCCTGAACAGGACCGGGTATTTCATATGTAAATACATGACGGATAGGATGTCCGTACGGCCACAGAGAGCTATTGAAGGTAGGTTATTTACACTCCACTTCAGTTTCGAGATAAGCGCACACCGCGTCTACGCGCCTCCGTATAGCAACAACAACAAAAAAAACGTTATTGAATATGATAAATGTTTGTGTTTGTGCTTAATGTATGCGATGAAACGTTTTGCCAGGTGAGGCACACGGTTCGTTAATTCCGGAGAATACGATCTAAAAGCTTCTGTGCTTCATGTTTACTCAATAGCGCGTATAAAAAAAGTTATTTACTGTTGTTTTTTTTTGTGTTGTACCCAAGTTGAAATCTAAGGAGGTACGAGAATCTTTACAAATCAAATTTTAATGCAATGAATTCTTAATTCAAGAATTTCATTTACTTTTGAATTTCATTATTAACTAATTTGAATTATTGCGCCGCGGTAAATTGAGTTGCCTATTATCTGTGATGATGTCTTACAAAGTACAAAAAAGTACATTCTCCTTAGCCATCTCGGTCTTCAGCAATCTCTCCTCCTGCTTCTCATTCCGAGAATTTCCTCAGCTCTTGAGTGCTAGCTATCCTTCTTCTGGCATGCGTTCTACATGTTCCGCATTAATTTTATGTATGTTGTGATGGGAGCAATGTTGTTGAGGCAGTTGGATTTATCCACTACTTCGAAGTTGTAGTCTCCAATAATACTACAATATAACATTAAGATACATTAAAATAACTAAGTATAGAGTTTGCCAAAGGGTATTTCCATCAATAAGCCAAATTATGGCGTCCTGGTCTTCCTGGAAATACAAAACAAAATTAAATTCAACCTGAAACAATAATCGTGACCGATAAGTAAAAAACGAAAAAAAATATGAAGAGCCTAAACNTGTTTTTAATATCGGCGTTCAAGACTTGCCTATGAGCAAACAGCATTTTCAATTTTGCGTAAGCACGCCTGATCAGTTCACTTGTGTTACGTGTAAACCTTAAGCTGTCGTCAATGTAAAGACCAAGATCCTTGACACAGACCTTCCTCTCCAATTCAATTCCATCTATAAAGATATGGGCCATATTGCTGACAAGCGCGTTGGATTCTCTACCACCGAATACCATACAGACCGATTTATTCCCATTTAACAAAAGACCATGTTTCTTAGTAATATTTAAAAAATTACCTAGATCATTGTTTACATCTGCAACAGACTCTAGCACATTATTTGAGCTAAAGCTGTGGTAAAATTGTGTGTCATCCGCATAGATATGAAATTTTGAGCAACAGCGGTCAAAGAGCAACATTTCAGACGTATAGATAGTGAACAAAAGGGGACCCAATGTAGAGCCCTGCGGCACACCAGACCTCAATACGGCAGGATCCGACATATCATTATCAATAACCACATACTGACTTCTCCCGCACAGATAATTATTAAAAAAATTTAAGGCTGTATTATTGAACCCAATATAATGAAGAATTGCTAAGAGAAGTTGATGATTAATAGTGTCAAACGCTTTAGAGAAGTCAAGTAAAACCAAAACAGTAGTCGCGCCATTGTCCGTTGCAGACATAATATCATCAATAATTGTCGAAAGTGCGGTTGCACAACTATACCCAGGCCTAAATCCTGATTGGATGGAGGGCAGAATATGAAACCGTTCCAAGTGCTCACATATTTGTTCCGCCACGACCCTTTCCAAAATTCCCGACAAAGTACTTAAGATACTAATTGGCCTCACATCCGAGAAGGAAGAAGCAGTCGATAACTTAGGTATAGGAACAACTTTGGCAGATTTCCATTTCTCAGGAAAGACATCAGACTCTAAACAAAAGTTAATTACATGCAGGAGCTGGGAGTTATGTGTGGACAACAGAAACCCAACATCCTAAGGCTTATACCATCAATCCCCACTACTTGACTCGACATCTTCGCCAAGATAATATTGATCTTAGATTCATTTACTTTTTGGAAAAAAAAATTTTTCACACCAGGTCTGACATTATTAGCATAAAAGTTGTGCACGTCCGGGTCGACCTCCGCATATCATCCCGAAATCGAAGAAAAGTACCCATTCAAAGCTTCAACATTTCTCAGACTCGTCGGTAGGCAGGGTTTTTTTTATTGTAAATATTCAACTTGCCCTCCACAAATTTTGAGTGCTCCCAGTTCTCATTTGCTCAGTTAAGTAAGCTCTTTTTTCACACTTAATTGCATTAGTCGTATAATTTCGTAATTGCTTATAATAGTCCCAGTGAGCTACATGATTAGTGCGTTTAAATTTATTTAAAGCTTTGTCACGCAACGACATCATCAATTTTACATTATTGTTAATCCACGGACTAGACTGAGCAAATGTCAGTTTTTCCATATATTGTGTAAAAACACTAATTGTGGTGCAAGAAGGAGATATGTGAATACATATTTCATTTTTTTTTGGGAAAGGATCAAATAACATTCAAAACTTTTTATTATTTAAAAGAAAAATATCAAAAATCTTACTCAAAAGAGTTACCGACAGCTCTGAAGAAGCCACTGAATCGGAATGGAAGTTTTTTGAAGCATAATACTTCAACTTCTTCATTTTCTATTGCTTCTAAAGACTTTTCCTTAAAATCGCTATAATACAACTCAGCTTTTTGAAGGTGTATTTGATGCAGCGTTGCGCTTCAACGTTTTTTTTTCTTCTGTATCTGCATTCTCTTTCTGATTATTTAAGACGTCACATTTTGCAAGTGTCTTTGCGCGCCATTCCGATTTTCCAATTTTCTCGGAAATCTACAGAAATCATAAGATATTTGTGGTTTGTATCAGTGTTCTTAAATACCCGGGTATTTATTTTCAAGGGTAAATATCCTGGATATATACCCGGGGGTATTTACCCAAGATGGATATTTAGAGGTATTTATAAAATTTAATTAACTGAGTTGATGGCAGTTTTGTCAGTACTTCAAGAATGCAGAGTCGATTATCGATATACTAAACTTATTTATAATATCTACAAGAATGCTACAATGAATGTAAAATTGCATGAATGTTCAGAAAAGAGTAGAAGTAGTAAAGTATTGATTGCGATACACTGTTGAACCCAACTTGTTCATCACAGTCCTGGAGAGTGCATTTAAACAACTGGATTGGACCCCAAAAGGCATAAACATTGATGGCAAATGCTTTAGTAATTTGCTTCTTATTTCGGGTAGTTTTGGAGAGATTAAAGTAATGCTGTGCAAGAATCGGGCTAAACGTCAACGAGGAGAAATAAAAATTTATGACAAATCTTGTTCTCAGCTCTAACATCAACATTGGGCATAATGGGATTGAGAGGGTTATGTATATCTTGGCTATGAGGTTCGTGTATCGAGAGATAATAAAACAAGCGAACTAAACAGAAGGATCACACTCATATGGACAGCCTACCGGAAGTTTAGAGACATCTTCAAGAGAAAAGGCGTGTTTATGACATACGGCTCTCAAACTTTAACATTAACGGTAGCCACTGCCAGGAGGGTCCAAGTAACGCAAAGATAGATGGAGAGGTCGATCCCGCCGGGTATTTACCCAGCGCCCATCACTGGTTTGTATGGACGGTTATCTTGTTTTAGTCGGTGCATATCCGGTTCGTATTTTTGAAGGTATATCGTACATTATTGATATGTTTAAATCGCTGGATAGGTAATATTTTGTGGTTCTGTTGCGGCTATAGTAGGAACATCGTTTTGGGAAACTGACAAGGTCTGTTGGATGTTGCGTTGGTACAAAGATGTTTTGTTATGCGTTCTAAGCGTTTCTTACCAATACCATGAAGAACTCATACAGTAGTTCTACTAGTTCATACTAGTTTTAGTTGGTTTAATCCCAATGTTTAATTCACGTGCCGTAAAGACATTGAAATTTCTTGTATAAAGCACAGTTTAGATAAATCATGTAAACTGCATATCATCGTTGATGTTAAACAACCTCCTATATGAATTCGTATCTTAATAGAATACACATAGAAGGTTGTCTAACATCATCGACTATATGACGTCTGATCATAATACAAACTGTCAAAATGGAATAAAAAGTTATAAATTTAATAATACCTACCTTGCATTTGTGAATATGGTTTTCTTATTAAATTTCTAACGCATCGTTTTCTGCACTTGCTTTGCTCTCTTTGTGGCACTAGCTTCACCGTTGATGTGGGCTTGTAACATTTTCCTCTAGCCCTTTTAATTTTTTGTATATTTCCGTATTTATTTTACGACCGCGCTTCTGTTTCACCTTTTCTTCCTCTTCAGACCTATCACTATATCTATGAGAGAAGAGCTCATCTCTGCGTAATGGCGTAACCATACTATGTACAATTAAAAATATGTTAACTGTAAGCTACAAAACATTGCGAGTGACATTATAAAACATCAATAAACAGTACCAACATTAAAAATTTCAGTATTGTCCTCATGGTACAAAAAAATCATTATTTATGATGTGTTGTGGGCTAATAATAGTATTGGATTTTTGAACAGTTTCTAACAACAAGTTTTGCACCAGGCTCTTCAGTTGTGAGAGTCTGTTCAATACGGTTTTTGTCTTTGGTCCCAACCCAACCGCTCTTCTAGCTGCTTCGAGCTTGCTACAGGTTTTTTTGACCGCCTGCATTAATCTAACAAGAATGTAAAGGTCATCTTAACAACTTATTTAAAGTGAAGAATGATGTGAAAAGTTATAGTGTGATGAGGAAGTTACTATAAATAGAAAACATGATGGTCGTTCCAAGATAGAAGGTAATAATTGTTATAGCTTTTTTATTATTTAACTGTAACTTTTTTGAATTATTTATTAGATGGGAAGGACACCTCCGGAGAAAGATAGGCAACCTACGTCAACAGAACATTATTGTTAGAGAATAGAACCTCTATTTGGAAATATTTAGTTCTAAAAACATTTTAACAACCAATGGACAAATTATAAAATCAAGGTAAGGGAATGCCTCCCAGATATGGATGGTACTGGAAAAATCAAATATCCAGGGCGGGCTGAAATTGACAATGAGCAGTAATTTGCTCTTGAGGTGTTATGGATGCAGAAGGCGGATTTTTTTTGTATATCCCAAGAAAACAAAAATGGCAAGTTGAAGACATATTTTGGTCCTTATTCTATGGCTGTCCTTAGATGTGCAGGAGTGCTAAAAATCTCCACGATGACAGATAGGCATCACCCGAAAGTGTAAAATTAAAATAATATACTAAGAATAGTAAATTGGAACCCATCTCTTGCCGATTAACACAAGGTCTATTTGGTTGGTCTCGTTTGTTCCTGGTATTTGCTACCAAGTGTCCATGGCTTGTGTTCAACGGCCTTATTTTGGGCCGACCTGTGTCAGTTTAGCATCAATATCCGCTTAGGTTTGACAGTATTTACTAGTGAGTAAATATTGAGTCATTCCTCATGCAGAGAGAAGCTCCACCAATCACAAATGTCATAGCTCCCAAGAGTGGCAGAAAATTATATATTTGACAAATGGTTTACATCATTAGAACTTGCAATACTTGAGATTGAAAATACCGCAAAAATGTCATTTTAGCAAAGAGTCAGAAATATGAAGATATTGAAAGTGGTACAAGCCGTCTGGGAGACGTGCGATTAATAAATGCATAACAAAAAGTTAGATTTTAGTAATTAAGGGTTAACCAAATCTAAGAATCATTTTAATCTCGAGTTAAAATTGTGAAACTAATTCCCATCCTGATTTCCGTATATAAACGTAAAGTCGGTCCATATTTGGACGCGGACTACCGTGGCCAATCGTTTCTTGAACGCGAGGCGCCGGTTACAACTCGTTTGAAATCAATTTCTGGTCACCTGTTTCACGGACCGTGGAAGTCGCACACTTAATCAAACCTGAAAAAATGGCGTAGGCGCTGGCCGAACCTGGAAACCGGTAACCAGTGTCGCAACTGTAAATGAAACTATACAAGATTTGTTGATACTTTTTTCTTACTTCATTCGTTATCTAAATTCTTTTTTTTTTCAGATTTTGAGAAGGCTCGTGGCCATAAAATTTCAAGACCCCGTTTGGTAGCTGATATTATGAAGTCAACGTCTTCGTTTAATTCTCAATCACCTCTAAGTAACTGCTACGACGATGAAGGAGCGTCTTTTAGTAGATTTCGACGTTAAATTAATTTTGTTAAAATTAAATCAAATCTAAACAAATATTGCTGAGTATTTTTCTAGGAATAACCGTTTCCTGTGGTATTGTTTCTGTTTTTGCAACAAATAACTTTTTGAACGCGACAAAGTAATTATTAAACACTTTTCGGAACAATTGGTCGCGGTATCATTAAAGAATTCTTGGAAAAAATAACACCGCCTTTTGCGCCCGGGCAGTAAAATACCATTTTACGAGCCATCGATAAGAGCCGAGAGGCGCCGCTTCGGTAGTCCCATGGTCGAGTTGGGCAAAACTGTATTTAAAGGTCAGAACCGGGTTAAGGTAACCAAGATAAGAATTTACGAAAAATATTCCCAAAAAAGATAAATATTTAAATTAATTCTTTTAAAATATTTACAATATTTTTAACTTTTAGATTTAAATCGTTATAAAAATGGAATTTAAATGAAATCCCTCCCTGATTTCAATTTTTTTTAAAGATTTTCTGTTAAGATCTGCGTTTGGGTCGTCGGCATCTTAGTTCGAAATCTCGATGTCCGACCCCGATTAAATTAACAGGGACGTAAGTTTTTAGTACTTAATTAGTGCCTACCGTAAACTCCTTCGCTCAACCCGGAGGAATTCGGACGCTTTTATTTGGAATTCCTTCCCATCGACTTCTTCTTCTTCTTGTATCACGGCCACCATAATCGATCCCATCGCCGCCGGGCCTCGTATCCATTTGTCACACGTCCCCTTTCGGGTCATCCTGGAAAAAAAGGTGAAGAGTAAAAATAGCGCACGCCACTTAAACGAACTTTATACAAGGTTCTTTACAAACAAAAATTTACGACGACAACCAACGTGTTAAGGATTCGCTTACTTCTGGTTTAAAAAACATTTAAAAGAAAATTTAAGAGAGTATCAGGTGACAACAAAAAAACGTGTTGAGATTTTAGGAATTACTTTTAACCTAGTTTTTTTAGATTTGATTTGTAACGTTAAAAATATTCGAGTAACAACACGTAACAAATGTGGGTATTGGCAATTCCCGATGTATTATAATTGAACCGGAATACTAAGTGCTCGTAAATAAGCGAGTCTGAATAAGTTTAATGGGAATACCTAGGTGTTGGTACTCGAGAACTATAAATATTTAAAAGCAAATGTCTCTTCGCACTCGTAAATAATTAGGACAAATATTTATACGATGAACGTTACGCTTAATTGGCCACGTTAACTACCTCTAATAAGGATTACATCTATCCTTCATCTTAACAGAACTTGTTTTCTAATAGGATATCGATAATAATTAATAAGAATTATTATTCAGTTTTAATAATACTTGATTACCATTTAAGATATTGAATTCAATAATTTCGCATCAATATCGGCTTTCACGTTAACTCAGTACTTATCTTTGGTCAGTCTCTTATTTGTCAGCCATTTAATGTACTTGACGATGAGATAACTAACCCTGGTTGTTCTCGCATGATATGTTAATTATCATTATGTTCATACAAATTTCCAACTGGTGATAAAGTGGGATCTGTGCTGCTTAGAAAAGATTTGCTAGCGGTTAAGTAAATCTAGCAGCTGCTGAAAATCAATTAAAAAAAAAATTTTATAGTGTTGTTTTTTTAAATGTTACATATATTTTAACTATTAATAGACTCTTAGTGAAGTTTATGAAGTCTTTGGTGTTT